CATAAATGTCATGATTGTACCAAAAATCAAAAGTACAAAATATCTAATCTCAGATCAGACACAGAACTTCTAGTTCAAGACCTCATTCCCTTTCCCAGAACCTGAAAATCACGCAGAAAACAAGAATGAGCTAACAGCTCAGCAAGACATCACTCACCAATCAAAATCATCAGAAATTCACATCAGAAAATAGCCGTACGGAAATCATAGAACAGATACTCGATCAACAAAAATCAAACAACTGATACAGAAAACTGAAGTCATGTCGAATCGGAGTTCATAACATATATCATAAAGCTTTCAAGTCACAGAGTAGACAGAATCGTACAGAATAACCAGAATCGTACAGAAATCAGATAAAATCACATTCATATCAAATAATTCTAATTAGATAATTCATAAAACAAATCAGATAAGTCACAACACAGATTATCAGATATCAAACATCAGATTTCAGATAACATATCACATATCAGATTTCAGATTCCCAGACCCTTACAGAATCTCTACGGATTCTGGCCCCTTATGCCTCCCTTCCCTGAAACTTTCAGAATCTCGACAGATTCTGGCCCCTTATGTCTCCCTTTGTGCTTATAGTACAAGAACATAACAGATATTCGGAATTTCGAGACAGAGCTTATTTTTAGATTTCAGAGCTCATTTTAGATTTCCCTGACACTTACAGAATCTCAAAGGATCCTGGCCCCCTTATAACTCCCTTCTGATAGCATACAAACACTTCAATTCATTCAATGTATCAATTCAGAAAAATTAAAATTCGTACGAAAAATCAGCGGTATAACGACAGTATATGGAATTTACACAAAATTCAGAGATTCAAAAATTTACCAAATTATCACAGAATATCCACAACAACATTATAAGACTTTTACTGTACTGAAGTAATAATATCAGACATTCAGATAAATTATTATTCGAATAAAACTCAGCAGAATTCAAAATACCCAGTAAAAATCTTCCAAAACATACTCAAAATGTGCACAATTATCATCTCAAAAACATACCAAAAGTTACGCGGTAAAACCTTTGTCAGAAGAAAATAATACCAGAAATTCGCTAACGGAAACAAAATCCGGAACAGAAAAGTCGTCAAAATTCTCATTTCCGAAAATTGAGAAAGACGGAATGTACCTTACCTCGAGTCAATCAACTTTCCCAACTACAGCAACGGACGAAAACGAACCAGAGTCGCCCAAAAATCCTCTTTTCTTCCTCTTTCCATGATTTTCTCTCTCCTGGACTTTCTCTCTCTTAAAAAACGACATCATTTAGATATTTATTAAGCAGGATCGTCCCGGACGATGTCCCGATCGTCCCGGGATGATCTTCTCTGGACTCAAATCGTCCAGACGAAAATAAATTCCAATTTCTTCGTCCCTGTACGAAACTCTCTGTTTGGTTCGTCCCGACGGTTCGTCCCGACCCTTCCAGGTTCGTCCAAACGAACCATACAGATTTCTTCACAATTTCCTCAGTTTGTCACGTACTAAGGCCAGTTCGTCCGGGACTAACAACACTAAAAAAACAGCTTTTGAGGGATTTTACACTTTTGACCTTGATCGCCTGCCGAATACGATCCTTCTGACCTCCGTCGCTAGACAACGGTCCTTCCGACCTTCATCGATAAACTACAGTAGTTCCAACCTTTGTCGCCCTTCTATTATAGTCCTTCCAACCTCTATCGTCATACTGCGGTCTTTCCGACCTCCATCGCCCGCCAACTGTGGTCTTTCCGACCCATGTCACCAGATAATGGTCTTTATGACCTCCGTCGCCTGATAACAAATTTTTTGACCTCCGTCGTTGATAACGGTCTTTCTGACGTTCGTCGAATGTCAATTATGGTCCCGACATCCATCACCTAACAACAGTCTTTCTGACCTTCGTCGCCCGCTTACTACGATCCTTTCAACCATCGTCAATTGATTATGGTCTTTTCTTCCTCTGTCGTCCGCCAGCTATGATCCCGCCAACCAAACAAACATTCCAATACTGATTCTTTCAATTCCCACCATGTAATGCATTTTATATGATGCATATTGGCTACATCTAGCCAATGCCTTCCCTCCAAGGAAGAGCCTCATTTGTAATCGACTGCAAACACTAGTGAAATCATTCAAACTGGAGCAGACCCACTGGTTTTCCTTCTTTTCATGTGTTTCCACATAAAAACTCTAGTGTTTCTTTTGAACACTACATCCTCTTTTTTATTTGATTTTGTGCTAGATCTTCATACAAAGCTACGACGTTAAACTCTATATTTCTTTATCTCCGCAAATATTCTAGTATGCAACATGTATGGAATAATATTTCTTATGTTTTTGAATGGATAAACATGCTTCTAGATTATTATGTTGTTCAAGATATGTATGAAACTGGAGAAGTTAATAAATAATTTTCTTTTTTGTCATTGTCTTAAAATTCATTGATATATCAACTTAATTTATATATATATTTTTTATCATTTGTCAAGAAAATTGTGAAGGAAAAAATTCATGTCAGAATGGCTTGACAATAATCCAACAAAGGGGACTTTAACCATTGGATGTACTTTAAGATCAGTGCAAAATATAAATAAATGATATTTCACTCATTTCTCATCAAATCTCATAATCAAAAGTTCTAATTATGTTTGAACAAAGGGTTTAATTTGAACCAATTTCATTTGTGATGTGCATCATAAACAGTTTGCATATATGAGATAAGGTAATATTGTTCAAAATTATTTTTTCGGTATATTTTTCCTTTAAAAAAAAGAAACAAAGATATTTATTTAATTATACATTATGAGACATATAAAATCAATTTTCTTTTATAACAATGAATAAATTTTATTGTATATCAATAATATTAAAAAAATGATATATTTAGATTAGTAAAAAAGTCTTTTGTTGGATACTAAAAAACTTATAATAACTAATATATGTAATTAATAAAAAGTAAAAATATTGAACTAGTTTATAATTAACTCTGCTAATAACTTTTCTTATGTGAGTGAAAGAATCACATGTCTTTTTAATGTGATATTTATCTTGTGGTTGTTTTTAAAATAATTTATAATTTTGATGAAATATTTATTTATTTTGAGCATAATTTACATTAATTCTCATGATACAATTTAAAAAAAAAAAAAATTTAATGAAATCTACCCCTTAAATAGGAAAAAATAGCAAGAAACTACAACAATAATAACATCAAGCCTTTATCCCACTACGTGGGGTCGGCTACATGAATCTTTTTTCTCCATTGTGTTCTATTAAAAGTCAAATTCTCATTTAAATCTAATAAAGAAAGGTCATTCCTAATATTTTCTAACCAAGTCTTTTTAGGTCTACCCCTACCTTTCTATGCAATTTGAGAAAATGTCTAAGGATCCTATAAAAAATAGTAAGAAACTAATGAAAAAAAAAAAAGAATATTGCATGGAATCCTTAGACATTTTCTCAAACTATAAATTAATTAAATTTTATCTTAAATTAAAAAACAAATTTGATGTTATGTTATGGCAAAAAATAACTATCATTATAAATATTTTATAATTTTAATAAAATATTCATGTCCTTCTATTACTTTTTTTTTGGAACATGTGAACTCTTGTTACAAGATTCTATCCCTCAATTATTCTTGAAAGCAGTTTGTTCATAGGAAAAAGAATTGTTCGGATTCTGAGTGTACACACTATATACATATAATGTGTATAAAAATTTGATTTATGCTATGTACAAATGTGTACACAGTCTGTACACTCATTTGTCCAGATGATTTTTTCGGTCCGGATTCCGCACATGATAATTTCTTGTTCTCTTATGAGTCTGTATTATTAATTGATTTGAATAAAAAATGGAATCAAATCAAGTATATTTTATTAGTTTATTTTTTAAATGAGGTTCAGATTTTTATTTGAGTTTAATGGCCATTTGGATTTCTATTATTCATTCAATTTTTTCAAAAATATTTCCATTAAATTTAAAACAAAAATGAAATGAATAAATAGTCAAATAATTAATAATATTTTTGTTACTTAAAAATTTAGTTCTATGTATAATTAAATCGGTTTAATTACTTTAATAAATCAATCAACCATTTCATTCGAATGCACAATTTTTTATTATAAATTTTAAATTTGATCAAATTAAAATCGAATGAAATAAATTAAATTTTTTTAGTTTATTTTGATTAAATTCAGTTATTCCTATTATTTACCACTTTATTTCATATTATTTACATATCTAATATCTAAAATTTTAATATTACATGTCTATCATCCATAAAATAAATATGGGTACATGTAATGAAATATTAAAGTTTATAGGATAATATGTGTGGTAAGAATGAATTGTAGGAGTTATATATTTGATATTAAAATTTTATATAAGTGGTAGATGCGTAATATTAAAATTTTAAATGTTAAATAGGTAAATAACATGAAATATAGTGACATGTATGTAAATCCCCCTTAATTCATTCAGTTTGAATGCAAAACCCTCTGTTCCACTTACCAGTAAAGGTGGTAACGACGAGCTCATAGTATTTCCCGACCTCAACGTCGACGAGATCCACCGCCTCCGCCGCCATCTCCATCCTATTGCACTTATCAGCATCAAGAGCCTCCTCTTCACCTCGTTTATCACTCTTCACCGGCAAGAACTCAAAGTACGCCATATTCGGGATCAAAGTGTATGACACCTCCGCCGGCGAACTCAACGGCTGGAGATTAATTCCAAAGTAGCATTCCGACGACGCATACATCATCGACACCAGCGGCAGCTCTCCGCTGTAGAAATCCAGCAGCGGGATGTACTGAGCCATTGATCCCGTCACTATTACATCAACATACTTGGTCCGCGGCCACAATCGCCTTATAATACCCTCCCATGGCTCCTTCCTGCACTCCGCCTCTATCCTCTCAGCCAATTTCGCATTGGGTTCACGCATAATTCGCATTACAGCTCGCCGAGATCCTGAATCAGTGATCCATTCACTTATCTCCCCGGCTCGAATGTTGGAGCAAAGTTCTTGCCAGTGATCCTCGAGGAATTTGATGGCGCGAAGGAAGGCAGAGGAGAATACGGCGCCGACGCGAAGAACGTCATCGCATTGCAGGAGGCCGCATAGGAGCTGGCTATACATGCTCTGTCTGCTGTCTGCGCAGAGGATGGTCTCGTTGGGACTGGTGTAGATAAGGTGCTTGTTGAAATGCCGGTTTAGAAAATTGGCACTTTTGTAGTAGCTGGTGAGGACCGGCCGAGCCGAGAGGCCTGAGGGAGTTCTGATCTCTGGCTTCACGAACATGAGATACATTCCCTTTCCTTTGTCCAGCCCATCAACGTACCTGAAACAGTTAATTCTGTGATAGACGAAACTTTTTCCATTATCGAATGGTGGTGATGAAATCGAGGAAAGAAGCTCACTTATTAATAACCGGTACTTGGAGATCATAAAGGAATGTCTTCCTGTCAAGTTCCTCTGATGTCGATGGCATCATCTTAGGCTGCCCGCCAGAAGTCCCCGAACTGGAGAACAGAAAGGAATACTTCATCATAACAGTCAATAGAATGTAATCACTAGTGTATTAATGCTCACCTGGTCAAGAGTTCTGTAATAGGCTGAGTACAGATTATGGAAGATGGTGCACCATTAGCGATCCTCTCGATGTATTCCCTCACGTGCTCATATTCTATGACAGGCACCTTCTTCTTAAAGAAATGATATCCAGTGAGTCCATCAAGGAAGCCATGGAGGTACTCTGTGTTAGAGTTCCGGGCAAGAATCTCGTCCAGGACCTGACGCTGAACTTGTGCAGCATTAGTTGTTAGCTCCTCTATGAGTTTCATGGTTCCTTCGTCATCATTTGGGTCGCACTTTGGGAGCAGCGTCATGGGTTGTGAAGCCGACATGACATGCGGGGAAGAAGGGCTTCTCATCGGGAAGAAGAAGAAGAAGAAGAAGAAGAAGAAGAAGAGTGGCAGAAAATATGTTGAAGAGCAGCGTGCAGCCTCAGATATCATATATAAGGAGTTTAAGCTAAATTACATATTTTTGTACCAAACTTAAGAATTCTCAAGTTGCCATAGGAAATGCCTAAGAAGAAAACTAAGTGATCAGTTGAAATTACTTCGCTAAAAGAGACAAAAGGTTGTATAAAGGTTAAATTAATAATGGTGATGTCAACCATATGTATGCTTATGATTGTATTAAAGGGCATGAGTGATTTTTTAGAGTTGCTTCTTATTTGTAATCATAACTAATTTTTCACTTCCCATGTTCAATAAGCTCTCATTTGGTAATTGGGAGGAAGGGTAGATAAGGATGCTAATTGTAGAAAAAGGTTAGCCTTGATTTGTATGCATTATTAAGTTTGTCGATAATTATATGAATATAAGTTTTGCTAACAATTTTTTACTTATAAAGTGTACTTCAATATCATAATGGTAGATACAAAAAGCTAATCAAGATAAGGACTAAAGAAAATTCTTCTATGGTATGTTTAAATTTAGTCAACTTTTTGAACACAAATGCCCTACTGCCACACTAACAAACCAAGGTCTCTAATATCGAGACGTGTCTCGTCTTATTCCAAAAGAGAAAATTAAAGGATAAAAACCTTTATTAATATTGATTAGTTCAAGATTACCTTTAAGCTTTTGCAGAGATGAGAGTAAGGAATCATATAAGGGGTGTTTATTAGTAGTGTACCGCAGTAGAGAGAGCTACTAGTCTTATGCCCTAATTAACATTAACCTCGTCATATGGAACTTTTATTCTATCCAGTGAACGTATGCAGAGGAAGGTTCGGTTTTAGGCAAAAAAGCGCCTGTACCGAGTTTTTTGACCTTTATAGGCACTTTTTTGCCTAAAACTGAACCTTCCTCTGCGTACGTTTACTGGATAGAATAAAAATTCCGTCATATGAGATTAAGCTTCCTCCCCAATATCATGCTTGAACACCATATTGACCTTTATAGTGGGTTATTATTTATAGAGAAGATTACTCTAGTAATGTGGGGAAGCTTTAGATAGCTTAGACTGTGTCAATGATAAGACATGAACCTAAAATTAATGATATTAAGTTCCGACTGAGGAAGATCAGAGAATTGGGGAAGCCATAGGCATCAAAGAGAAATAGAGTGAGAAATGGTGCATGCAAAGAGATTTTTGCACAAATAATTGATCAATAAATAAAATATTAATAAGGGCTTAGAAGGACAATATAGTATGCCGTCTACCCTAATGTGAGACATGGGGAAAGTGAGGGCCTTGGGAGAGTATAAAGGATGGTCGTTAAATACAGACATTCTAGCCTAACTTCGAATCCTAAATTTTTGCTTTGGGAGTGACATTATCTATTTACGCATTATTTTGTTTTCAATTATTTTCTTAAAATTTTATCTCGACTAAGTCAGATAAATCTTATAATAAAATAAATTTTGATCTTTTTACGAATGAAAGCACGCGCACTATTATTTTATCAATGTAAGTTACCAAAATCCTTAATGTGTGCCTCAAAATTGACCGTTAAAAAAATAGAAAAAAAAAGTATGAAATTAAACGATTAAATTGAAAATTAAAATTATTAAATAAAATTTACAACAATGAAAAAATTTGGCAATTATCATTCAGATTCATTTTGTGAATGTTCCAAAACCACCATAGCTATTTAATATTGCTTAACTGGTATTCTTAGGACACTTAATATAGAAACCTTATTGCTAATTTGGATCCGTAGCCTTGAAAATTGGATTTATAAAAAATTAAGCGTTTAAACTCAAATTAATTAAATGCTCCCGCAATCTGGGATCTGCTGGAACTTTGGACTTTGTAGAGCAAGAAATTGTAGGAGTTGTCGAGGCGCGGTTCATTGGGCTTCGGGCCAAAATGTACTAAATAATATTGATTAAATTGGACAATTATTGCTCACCATTTATTACACTTAAATATATATATTTCTATGTCGGCCTAAATCAATGAGTGGCTAAAAAATTTAATTAATAAAGAAGTCCACTTGCAAAGCCCCGTTCCTACGATTGAGATCTTGATTTTTTTTTTTACTTTACAAGTAGAGATTTGAATATAATAACTATTAATTTTAAATAATTAATTTCCAAAAAAGAGATTAAAAAGATATTTCATTTATTGAATGAGTACGTGAAAAGATAAAAAATGTTATAAAATAAGATATGTTTTACATCCAAGATAACTGATTCAAGCTAGTTTTAGAGGTAATATGAAGAAGTATTATTTTATTTTTTACATATATAATTGATTACATGTGTGAATTGTTCAAATCTAATTTTGTAAATGAATAGTTGAAATAGATTTACTAGAGCGAAATATATCAAATGAGGGGCACACTATAGCTCATGTATCATTGGATAGTGTTATGCAATTGGTCAGTATTTTAGCTCTAATAATGGGTGATACATAGAGCAAGCCAGTTGGGAGTAAGAAAAAAAAAGAAGATAAGCATTTATATATATTTTGAAAATTGAAGCCCCTATTATTCAAAGGAATTGTAGGACCCCCAGGTTGCAGAAGATTGACTTTTGAGGATAGAGATGATCATTGATAGCATGTAGTGCTCAGAGAATTGGAATGTACCATTAGCTGTCTTTCTCTTTGAAGGCAAAACAAAAAGATGGTGGTTAAGACAGTGTAGAGAGAAATTTTAGGGGAAAATCAATATGGAGATTACTTGTGAATTGTACCTCCTTCAGCCTGACGACAAATACTAGAAGCCTTCATCGGACTGGAACATGGACGTGCAAGATATTGATGTAGTATGAAGTCGAGTTTACTGAATTGGCTAGGTATGCTCTATATTCGATTCTCACTGCTAAAGAAAAGTTCTATAAATTTATACAAGGATATATATGGAGTGAGGCATATGTTAGTATCTCAGCAGATTCATGAGTTTTTTTAGTTGGTAGAAAAGGCCATATTAATATAGTTTAATTTGGCAGTATCGATATCTAGGTATGATGCATGTAGGCTCTAGATATGATGTGAGCTTGGAAAGGACTAGGGATGAATCAAGCTGGAATAGAGAAAAGTGCCTGTGATAAGAAAAATAAATATAGTGATTTGAGGGGATTTGTATCAATAGCATATATTGGTAGTTATAGTGAATGTATCCATTGTGGAAAAAGACATTCATGTCAGTGCTACGTATTGACAGGACAATATTTTCAATGTGGGCAACAAGAACATAAGGTAACAGATTTTCCACATAGAGGATGAACTAATTCTGTAGCAGGATAGTTGATAGATTGGTCCTTCATGGACTGATTATTACTGGGCCCTAGATAGGCCATTATCCATTTCAGATTATTATATGTTATAGATTTAATCATTCTAAATAATATGATATGATTTTATTAATTTTTTTTATCGGTTAGAAACATGTATATGAATGGTTCAGTGAAATGAGTAGGAAAAAAATCTACTGAAAATGATTTGAAAAGTAATGTGTTGTAATCTAGTATGAAAATATTGAAATAAGATTTGGGCTAAAATAATTATGTGATTAAAATGCAATAAAATGATGTATTAAACTGATACTAATATGATAGAAAGGATGCACTGATTAATATAAGATATATATGATATAATAATCCCACTACATGAAAATCACTCATTACCGGTAGATTCTTTCGGTGGTTATCATAAGCTTTCCGGTAGTTTTGGAAACTACATGCAGCTTAGCGGCGATTTAAAATCGGCCGGTAAAAACCACGTAGAAAACCGTTTCCGGCGGCCTTTTTCCGGCAGTTTAAGTAACCAGCGATTTACCGGCAGTGAGTACCGCCGGCTTTTTTCCGGTGGTCATGACGCCGGTGAGCACCGATTATTTACCGTCGGCATATCGACTGTTTAATCGTCAGTTATGTCGGATTTTTTGGCGCCAATACCGCCGGTATAACATCGGTAAGGAACCGGTGGTTTAACGGCGGTCATCGCCGAAGGAATTACTGGCGGCGGAACAGCCGGCATATCGCCGGCAAACTGCTGGAACCCGTATGTAAGCCACCGAAAATTACCAGCGATAATAATGATCTTTCGGTGACTTCCACCAACAGTCCGGTGTCGAAGTTTCCGGCGACATAATACTAAGTTAATTAGTGTTGCAGAGATGAGGATGCTTAGGTCTACCTCTACCTTTCTTAACATAAGTCAAATCTAATACCTCAACTTTCCTTACCGGGTCATCAAAAGGTCTCTGTTTAATGTGACCAAACTATCTAAAGCGACTCTCTCTAATCTTATCTTTCATTGGAGCTACTCCAACCTTATCATGTATATGCTCATTTTGTATACTATCTCTAAGGGTCAAGCCACTCATCCACCCAAGCAAAAACAACTTCAAAATTAAAAATAAAAAAAATAAAAAACAACTTTAAAGTAACATAATTCCTCATTACATTCTACAAAATAAAAAACAACTTCAAAATTAAAAAAAAAATTAAAAACGCAAACCTCGGAGGCCGGTTTCGTGCACAAGCGGGGCGAGATCTTAGACCTTGCAGTGGGGGTGAGATCTTCGGCCGGAGGGACCTTGTCAATGGCCGGAGGGACCTCGTCGGCGGCCGGAGAGCGGGTCTTGATCGCGAGAGGGCGGAGGAGAAGGGGGTGTGTGTCACGTAGGAGAGAGAGGAGCAGGTGATGAAATGAAATGGAAGGCTCGAGATGGCTTATTCTAGAGCATTTTCCGGCGGCTTTCTGACGGTTTGGACCGCCGAAAATAATTTATTTAATACCGGCGGTTAAAGTCGCCGGTAATGCACTGGTAATAATTAATACCGGCAGGTTAACCAGTGGTTGTTGGACCGCCGCTATTTCCGGTGGCTTTAATTTAAAGAACCGCCGGTAAACACCGACGGTCAAACCGCCAGTTAAGTCGCCATTATTACCGGCGATTGTAGAACCGCCGGTCCAGATCGCGGGTAACACATGAATTTCCTGTAATGTTCCATGTGATGCCCTCAAAATTTACTGATTCACTAATGAGATCCATAAAGAGCTAGAGACTGATTGTGAGTCATAAAGAGTTCGGGCGACTATTTTACATGATTACTAATTGAGAGTTATAAGGAGTTTACTGATTGGGAGTCATAAGGGGTAACTAAGTGGGATGTATAAGGACATGAAAAAAATTAAGATATCCTCATATTTAAATATTTGATGCAGATATACTGAATGCTGATTATTCATACTAATTATAGATTACTGATTATTGATACTAATATTGATTAGTAATACTAATACTATACAAATATTGATATTATGGACACTATTATTATTTGTTGTTACTAAATATGAATATCAATACTATTGTTAGAACTGATAAACTAATATGTATAACTGATGTATTGACATGAATGATTG